GTCTTCCCTTGATTGCTTAGATATTTTTCTGCTGTGTTTGTTTTTTTTTTTATCAAAGAAGTAACATGTAATAAAATGAAAGAAAAGTACTGATATATTTTTTATTATAAAATGAAAAGGTATTACGCTTCTGTGTTAAGGGATTGAGTAGCAAAATTCAGCAATGATATTATTATTAAGATACATAACATTAAGATATCATGTAGTTACCTTCAAATTGAAACAAAAATCCCAACATTTTAAGTAAGGGCTGGGTTTTTAGAGGACAGAATTTATCTTTAAAAGCTATTGTAGCAATTTTTTTGAAACAATTTGTCAGACTGGGCAAAGAAGATAACAAAAATCAGTCACCATTGCTGGTTTCTTCTAGAAAAAGTTAACTGTATCCTTTTATTGTTATCTTATTTGTCATTCCACAGCCTCTGTGTCTTCGTGATTATTGCTCTTTATTTAGAATTTCCATTTTGTTCCAGTTTTATCATTTATAGATAAAATATAAATATTAATCTAAATATGCATATATATTAAATATCAATATTTTTTATTGTTTGTATCCATTTCTTTTCTTGAAGTTTCCCAAAACGTTGATGCTGACAGTCTCTTAATACTCAGCAGGGCTTGTAGTAGTGTTTGAGTCAGCTCTGCCTCTCCTTAGAGCCTGTGTATTGAATTTCATCTACTTGTATGTAATTGTAAAGGTAGTAGGAAAGATGTTTTAGATGAGTGCAGCCTAGTTTTCACGGCCAAGATGCAGCAAGTTGTCTGCACATTCAGCTCATTCTGTCCACTGATAGCTTCAGCATCTAAATCTCTCTGTTGCATGGAATTTTGATGGGCTTTGCACAGTCAGCAGTCTTTGCTAAAAAGGTGGGTTTTTTTAAGTCAAAGGGAAGTTATATTTAAATTTCTAATTATTCTGGCTAAATCAGAATCAGATCAGAATCAGAAATTCTTTAATAATCCCAGAGGGAAATTACTTTTGTTACACGCTCCAGTTACAGTTTTATATTTTTATACACATGTATATAAATGCTTTCTTTATCAGACCATATTGTCTCAAAAGTTAGAAAATTTCTATTTAAAAAAAAAAATCCTGTCTTAAAATCTGTGGGGTTTTTTGTTATTTTATGCAGGCCAGTTAGTTATACAACGGCTTGTAGACCTAAATTCGGCCAATTATATATCAACGGTCATCTGTCAATCAAATTTTCAGTCATAGCATTTTGATTTATATGTCGCAGCTAATATACGCAACGGTCGAAATAGGAATCTTTTTACTTTCCCATTGAGTTCCGTCCCAGTGTTCACGGGGATGGACGTCTGTGTCTTCAGCAGGCGTAGAGCTAACAGAACTGGCAGTGTTGCGAGGCAAGGGCTCAAACATGTACGGCTGGAAGCCTTCTACACCAAACCAAGCTTCTGCCGCCGTGGCGTCCTCTTCCACAACATCTTCATCCCCGCTTTCCTCCTATAAATAAAAAATGGATGACAGAGGAGACTCATCTACAACCTCAGCACAAAACTCTCCTCCTCTTGCATGTTTCCGCTTTCCATAGTTTTCCTTATCAGTGCCATTTCTAAGTGCTACTTGGTCCCAATGTAATTTCTTTGCATGACTTACTAACTTCATGACTTAAAAATTTTCAATCTTCAATCAATTTGAATGCCATGATTCACTATTGACTAATTGATGAATTGTCTTTCTTGGTAACAAACCTGAGAGGTTATTTACTTTTGCCCTGCTTTAGATAGCAACAATGAAGTTGTCAGTGTGTAGGCATGATAATTCAAAGGCCCAGTTTAGGAGAATCAAGAGGTTGTTGTGTTTAAACACATTTTTTTTTCAGGCTGTGTTTGTAACAGGCTGGAAGTTATTTTTCCTG